GGGGGGGGGGTCTGAATTGAGCGATCAATTATTAGACCCGGACGTCCCAACACTTGCTTCGCAAGACAAACTCAAGGTATCCCCTAAAGGGCTACCTTTCGTGATTTGGAGTGAATGGATTGGCCTTTCTTCCTGACGGGCTTCGCTCACTTTGTTCTGCAACTCCTGCCAAATCTGCCATCCAAACTCAAAGTCAGAATATTATCCAAATCCGTCTTCTGCATGATTCCAAACAACAACCACAAACACCAACCTATGCCTTTCTCGTATGAACAAACGTATGACCAAACATCGCTTCTGACCGACGCGTCTGACCGCAAGACCGATGCCCGTTCTCCGTTCTCCTCCAACTCTTGGGCGTGACGCGTCGCAGCGTGCAGCAAATCCTAAACGGTCGGATGGCCGGGGTCGTGCAGCAGCAGTCGACATGTGGATATGAAGTTGGTCGACTGGATTCGACGATTCGCCAGCATGCTATCTCTTGAAACGTGGCGATACCTGCTAAGTATCCAAAAACTATACTCCCATATGCTTCTTTCGCTCCTTGAACGGACTGATGGATCGGAAAGGATCAGTCCCAGCCAGACACCGCGGCCAGTGCCACCTCCTGATCCGCTCGCAGGTCTGGGTCGCAGTACCTGAGGGCGGCTCCATTCTTCCAGACGGCCGCCAGCACGAACTGCCGGTCGGCGCGCAGCTCCACGGCCGCGTGTGCGAAGGCGTTGCCGTTCTGCCGCACGGCTGCCAGGACGGTCGCGTGATCCTTCTGCAGACGCTTGGAGGCATATCTCAAGGCAAGGCCTGACTGTTGAATGGCCACTTCCAGAAGTTCTTGGTGGTCACGCAACTCAACTGAAACGTATTGCAGGGCACGCCAATCTTGGTGCACCGCCAGAAAAGCAATCTCAGAGTCTGCTGCTATGCAGGAGGGTGCATATCGCAGCGCTCGCCATGTTCTTTGCACGGCTTTCAACATGATTTCACGATCACTATAGACTTCGGACGAGGCATGTTCCAAGGCCAATCCATCTTGTTCGACGGCGCATAGAACAATTTCCCGATCCCGTTGGAGGTGCTCTGCAGCAAATTGCAAGGCTTCCCAGCTCTGTTTCACAGCCTCCAAAACCAGTGTTTTGTCTGAGCGCATCTGCTCGGATGCATGCTGCAACATGCGCCAGTTTCGACGTATACGGTCGGCTAAGGCTGTGCCTTTTTGTGGGACCTCGGTGATATCAAGGTCAAGCATATTGCCTGATTTCACCAACTGTCTCAGCGTTTCAAAATCAAAGAGTTCTCGTTCACCCAGGTGAAGCTTCTGCAGGGAAATGGGAATTTTGGTCAGCGCTTCCAAGGATTCACGAATAGCACCAACAGTTGCTGTACTCTTCACTGAAAAGATCGGCCGAGAGGAATTCAAACCGTTCACGCGCACACGTACGTGGATGGATCCCACATCTTTGTTGGGTGGCGCATTCTCCTTTTGTCCCGCAGAAAGAATTGGCGAGTCTGTTTGCCCAGCAAAGTCAGCCTGGTCGGTCGCGGAAGGGTCCGAGCTGTTTGGAGCTTTCCCGAAAGTATTGTGATTGAAGCCTGGTTGTTTTTCACCAGGCTCACACTTTGCTTGCTTGGTCCTTTGCCTTGCAGCAGCCTCCTTGAATCTTTTGAGCTCGTCTTCAGCTTGTTTGGCACGACTTTCAGCTTTCTTCCGCCTCTTCTCCTCTTCCTGTGCCCTCTCGCTCTCCTTTCGTTCCCTTTCTCGTGCCCTTTCTTCTTCGCGTTCTCTTTCTCGTTCCCTTTCCTTTGCCTTGGCACGCTCTTCCTGCCTCCTCCGCTCTTCGGCTTGGGCAGCCGCCTTGGCAGCTGCCTGGGCAGCCTGAGCTGCGGCTTGAGCAGCCTGAGCTGCGGCCTGAGTGGCCTGAGCTGCATCATTTTGAGTTTTTACTTGGGCATCCCTTTGAAAAGTCGCTTCATTGGCTTCCCACTTTCCTTGCACAATCAAGAACAGCTGCTGAGCCTTTGCTCTCATCCTCTCGGGTTGTTTGTCAGGATGAAGCTCGAGCTGCAATTTGCGAAGCCGGGACTTTTTGACACCTGGTGCCAACAGATCAATCTCCTTCAGCTCCTGATGCAAGCGAGCCATTCGTGCATCCAACCATTTCTGGTCCTCCCTCTCTTCACGATCCTCCAGTTCTTGCCGAAAGCGCCTCTGCTGGGCATCCCATTCATTCCACTTCTTTTGTTCCATGTCCTCAGGCAAGTGAGACTTATCCTCTTGCTTCTCTCTCGAGGTCTCCGCACTGGCCCGTGGAAAGGTTTCTGGAACGGCCTGATTGGGCGTTTCCATTCTTTTCGGGGGTTTGCTGTCCACGGGGCTCGCTGAGCTTGCGGCGCGCGGGGGTTTGCTGGTCTTCGCTGACCATGAGGCGGACTTGGAATCCCCCGGGCGGATGTAGATCAGCTCTCCCCCGCTTTTGATGCGATCATGGTCGTCCCCATCCTTCCAACTGATGGTGTAGACACCATTGGAGTTTTCACACAACACAGTGGCCAAATACCAGCAGCCTTGCTGAAAACGCGCTTTCACCACATCTCCAGGCAGAAATTTCACCGCCGCATCGGCCTTCCGCTTTTGCTGCATCTCCTCTGGAGACTCGCCGGCGCCGTCGTCCACCGATTCGGCATCGCTCAGGTCTCCAAAATCAAACATGGTGTGGTGAGAGGCTTGGAGGGGACTGTTCACCCAGCCTCCGAAGAGAAAAAACAGGGGGCTCACGTGAGGGATCTGGAAGGGACTGATGTCGCCCAGATGCAGGTAACTTTCGCAGTGGAATCTACTATAAACCTCAGAGAAAGCCATACTTGCTCAAGGAACACCGATTTCTCTTTCAAAATCAGCGTCCTGCGGTTACTGAACTGCTGCTCGCCGTACCACTCTTGATAGATAACTATAGATTGCTGCATACACACATGTTCAATCATCATTTATGTAATATAAACTAAATATGTATACACAGAACATGAAGCTTGTTCCTGCACCTCTTCTCCAAGGTTGAAACCAAGGAAATGACAAAGGACAACATAAGGTTTCAATGGAAAATGGGTGTTGTCATTGTGAACTCCTGGAATGCAATGCAATCCTTTTGCTGACTCATTCATCCGTTAGTCTACAAGGACCCAATCCTTGAGCACAAAACGACATCTGCCAGCGGGAAAATGATCCAATCAGTCATCACCAGTCCAACCCAGGACATGTGCTTCTCCAAGGTCCAAGCTTCCCGTCTCATGACCCATCAATACCCATGGATACTCATGCCAAACGACTTCGTAGAACACCCGCGCAGAACAACCGCTCTCCGAAACGAGGCCCCGGACGGCGCGAAGGCGCAAGATGGTGTCATCCCGGTCCTGCCGTGAGTTCTGCAGGTGATTTCGCACAAAATGATGCTGCATTCCAATCATTCCAGGCGTTCGCAACTTGCGGCCGATTTCGGCGCCAAAGCTGACGATCGTAGACGCAGGGACGAAGCTTTCTGGTTGGTGATGTGGTGATGAACTACCCACAAGAATAGAAGCCATTGGGCTTAGTTATTCCAGGTAAAGGTTGCGAGCTGAAGAATACTTGAAAGCACCAAAACCAGTTCTTTACGATTGAAGCTACAGTACCTGTTTCAACGACCGGGGCTGCTGTTTGGAAACATTGAAGACGTCGCCTTGATCATCGACCGGATCTTGTGCTCGTCCGGGTCGGTGGCATTGCTTTGCACCTTTCAGCGGAGCAGGCTGCGAAGGTGGCGGCCACCCTTCTGCCGGAAGCCTGCGACCCCGAGTTCCGCCCTGTTCCGCCGCTTGTTCCACGAGACACTTGGTCAACTGAGGTCAACGTGAACGGCCATGGGCTTTTTCACTCACCCCAAACCCCAAACACCTGCGACCTCCGGCGGGTCGCACATCGGGGCACGAGAAGGCGGGCACCCCCGATGCCGCCTAGGCCTTGAATTAGGGATCAGTCTCATGTCTTAGGCCATGTGGCATTCTTACTAAATTCTATTTTAATTCTAATAGCAAACATTGTTACTACTATAGTAAGGCACTTGTTACTACTAGCGATGCACCTGTTACTAGTAGTGTAAAAGCCACGGGTGACGGGTGATCGGAATCAACGGCCCAACAGCGTCGACAGCGTGGACTCGGGCTGTCAGGGCACGGCCGATGCACGGGCGGTTGTGCAGCCACGACATCAGGAGGTCTTTTTTTATCTTTTTTCGGCGAAGGACAACAGAAAGAAACACAAACATCAAGCACCATGGATCACCATCCAGAAGACATCACTCCCAATCAAACACCAATCACAAGGATGACACCACTCGGACCACCTGACAGATCGCTTGTGACTAACATCACCTGCAGGCTGCATGGGGAAGTTGAAGATGTGAACCGCCCCAATTTGTAGACCAATTGGATTCCAAAGGTCTCTTTATAAGTGCAACGTACCCCTCGCGAAGGTTCGTCAAGCTGCCCCATCCCCCTGTAGGCATGTATGTACAGTAATTATACGGTCCGTGTCCGTCCGTGTCCTCTCCGTCCTCGTCCCAGTCCGAGAAAAGCCCTCCCCGAAGAAAACCGCCTCGGTCGGATCCAATACCGCCAGATCTCAGATCGGCTCCCGGAACGAACCGAGGTTCAACAGCGACGTGACGAGGCGGCTGTTGGGACCTCGAGGACCCGTTGGGACCCGTTGCGACCCGTTGGGACCGGAATCGAACACCATAATAAGACGTGGTCGACGAGCACGGAACCCCGAGCCTAGGGTTTTGCAGGGGGTTAGAGGGTTTTGACGTTTTCTTTTGAGGTGTTTAAGGTTCTAAAGGGTTTTCATACTGTAGGGATTTGAAACCCTTTCGGTCCAATAAGGTCCTGGCAGCCAGGGCTGGCTCTGCCGGCGCGGCGTAGCTGGTCCGTCGCATCTCGAGTCCGTCGAGTCAGCCCAAAACGGTGCCTGTCTCAAAGCCCCGGCCTGGACCGAGACACGAAGAAACAGTCACAGACAGTGTAGACGAGTGAAGTGACCGTGGGATGGAAACAAAGGCTGAACATCATGTAGATAGAGTATATGGCTGAACCCCCCATATGGAGAGGTTTTTCAGTCCGGGTGGGAGGGTTGTATCAATCAAAAGGCTGTTGGGGTTTCAACATTCAGGCTTTGATTCTCATGGCCTCCGCCTCTAGCTCCAAGACTTTGGCACGCAGGGCAACCAGCTCCCGAACCTACCACATGCTGCGTTCATTGGACGATCAGCAAGCTTCATGATTCATGAGTGTTTGTGGCGGCCACCTGTCAAATGGCATCCCTCCCAAGTCTCCCAAGACTACCTAGACATAGTGATTTGTCAGCATAAGAGTTTTTGTCACTTTGCCCACCTGTCCAACAGCTAACTACGCCATACAAGTAGCTTCCCACAGCAACCGCAATTTGTGCAAAGCTGCCAACACTGCCTCATCTTGCAACAGCTTGCTGTTTGGCCTCAGCACGACCGTAGGATGCCCCGTGTTTGGTGCATGTTTCGATCCGACCCATCAAGTTTGTACATCGTCTATGAATGTCTATGACATATGTTAAATGTAAAACATTTGTTGATGTATAAATTGCACTACAACATACGACAACTATCTACAACTAACATACTACAACACAATGACAACACGTAGACGTACACGACCAATGGGGCTAGCGGATGCTAGCGGTGTTCAGGACCAGGGTCTCTGACCTGGCAGCCACTTCAGCACGGAGTCGGCCACACCTTGGGCAGAAGCCGACCCCTTGGTCCAGTGATCTGGGTGAGAACT